TTTGCTCTCCAGCCTTTCCTGGTATGGCCCCACGACCTCCAATAACCATTAGCCTGTTCCCATTAAGCACAGTAGCCATAGCATCAAAATGAGCAAGGGGAGGCTTTCCAACAGGAGACCAGGAGGTGATCTGTCTGGTCCGTGGATCAACATTCATGGAATGAATAGAGAGAGAGGGTTGATTGTCCCACCCGCCAAGAGACAATACCTGACCATTGAACAGAGCAATGGTAGAGTACACTTGAGGCATAGCCACAGCACCCCAGCAGTTACCACTTCTAAACTGAAGGCACGACTAGCAAAATTAGAAGTAGCAGAATTGACAAGGTCGCCAAGAGGAGTGTGAAACAGCTCCCAAGGAGCTCAAAGTAGATCTATTGCCGGCAGTAAGGGAGCAGCAGGATCAGTTGGAGCCGAAGTATATCAACATTATACATACACATACTTGTGTTATAATGATAATATTACTTCTTTCATAGGGACCTGTTGGACCACCAGGTTATGATGGTGAACAAGGACACCTAGGAGATCAGGGAGATCCTGCATCATCCTGGCGAATGTGGCGATAGAGGGAGCACCTGGTGCCCCAGAAGAGGATGGTGCTGATGTAAGAACCTTTATCATACTATCATAATTTACAGGGCAAAGAAGGCGAAAGGGGAGCCAAAGGACCCACCAGGACCTGGAGGACCTGCTGAAATGACTGGAGACCCAGGTAATGAAGGATCACCAGGTAACACAGGAGCACCTGGACCACAGGGTCCTACTGAAGCCACTGGACTGTAGGCTGGGGACTGTAGGCTGGGGAATGGTCTGGCTAGAGAGACTAACTGGACAACCAGTAAGATTATTATTTGACAATAAAATGATATTAATGTGTCAGTCACACTCACAGGGGCCTGGGACCTTAAGGACCAGCTGGTCCCAGTGGACCACCTGGACCTGACGGCAAGCAAGGTCCTAGACTACCAAATAACAATGATATGCTGAACTGCCTCTTCTAAAACTGACCCTCTTTATTACTAATAACTTGATTTTTTGTTCAATTTTATTTCAAAACAAATAAAAGAAAATAGCTATATAACTTTTGCCACTAAAATGCATAATTACTAAAGCAAATACAACATAATGTACATGTAATACAAGTTAATATGTTCACACAAAAAAATGGCAGCCAAACTAACATATAGATCTACTTAAAACAAAATGCACACAAAAAGGTTAATTGATAAGACTATCCCTCAGCTTTGCATTATTATCAGAAATTGATTTTAATTTACGCCTTTTTATTTTCTTTTCATTGTACCATTCCTTTATTTTTTCTTCGTGCCTCTTGTAAATCAAACGGATATAAATTAATGTGAACCACAGGAGGGGAATCCACACTAACACATACTGGAGTACATAGGCCCATTTAGAGAGAGGTATACCAGTGACAGTGTATGTGTATTGATACATACTGAGAGCAATCAATAGAGCAAGTAGCAGGAGAGAACCAGCTTCAATGGCATTGGGATCAACATATTTATGCTCTTTCCTTTTGTATGGTCGAAGTGTTATAATAGCAACACCACCAATCATGCAAACTGTGAATTGCAGTATGTACTGTATGATGGTATTCCATGCTACCATATATGGCAACATTAATAATAATCTTAAGATGAAAAATCCACCTGCCAGCCAACGGAAGTCGTGACGATTCCATTCAGTGTAGAAACTAAGTTTGCAATATTTTGTAGCGATTTGTTGATAGCTACATACCCAGTTGCCACTTTTGTTTGAAATTTTGTATCTCACATGGCAATATTGACCCACATGATCACGATCCTTTTCATAGTAATTACGATTGTCAGAAACACTTTCATTTACTTGAACAGCCTCATTGTTATCAGTTGTAATAAAATCGTCCAAACTTTTACAG